CCGTCCTCGCCCAACGCAAGCCGGGCTACTCCGAATACGTCGTCGCTTATGCGAGTCGCACACTTACTAAAGCTGAGGCCAATTACAGCGTCACTGAAAAAGAGTGCTTGGCGCTAGTGTGGGCGCTTCGCAAGTTCCGCCCTTATTTGTACGGTCGCCCATTCGACCTGGTAACGGACCACCATGCACTTTGTTGGCTCGCCACATTGAAAGACCCTTCTGGCCGCCTAGCTCGGTGGGCACTGCAAATCCAGGAGTACGACATTCGTGTCATCTATCGCAGCGGACGCAAGCATTCTGACGCCGACGCCCTGTCGCGTTCGCCTTTACCTCCCGACTCGGCCTGCGGAACCACTGGTATCTCCATCGCATCTCTCGACCTCGACTCCTTTACCAGTGAACAACACAAGGACCCGTGGATCGCTTCTCTTTTTAACTGTCTTTCTGGATCGTCAACCACTGCGGTACCACGATCTCTCCGACGTCAAGCTGCTCATTTCGCCATTCGTGATCGGCTACTACACCGACGCAACTACGCCCCCGAAGGTCGTAAGTGGCTCTTGGTTGTCCCGCGCAGCTTGCGATCACAAATCTGCGCCTCCTTTCACGACGATCCCCAATGTGGTCATGCCGGAGTTTTCAAAACTTACGAACGCATTCGCCATCGCTTCTACTGGCGCGGAATGTATAATTTCGTTCGAAAATTCGTTATGGGCTGTCCTGACTGTCAACGTCGCAAATCACCGCCTTTCCACTCGTCCGGTGCGCTTCAACCGCTTCCGTGCCCTGCCAAACCTTTCGATCGGATCGGAATTGATCTTTATGGCCCTCTACCGACAACATCAGATGAAAATCGTTAGATTATAGTCGCTGTGGACCATTTAACACGCTACGCTGAGACCGCCGCCCTTCCAAGTGCCACTGCGCGGGACGTAGCATCCTTCATCCTTCATCGCTTCATATTACGACATGGTGCGCCTCGAGAACTACTAAGCGATCGAGGTCGAGCCTTCCTATCAGAAGTCGTCACGTCTCTGCTTTCTGAATGCCTTGTTGTTCATCGCAAGACCACGGCATACCACCCGCAGACTAACGGGATCACGGAAAGATTTAACCGCACCCTTGGCGATATGCTCGCCATGTATGTGACATCCGATCATACTAACTGGGATCGCATTCTTCCATTCATTACGTTCGCATATAACACCGCGGCACAGTCTACCACTGGATTTTCACCTTTCTTTCTTCTTTATGGACGCGAACCATCCCACACCATCGATACTCTCCTTCCATACCGTCCTGACGCATCCGAATGCCCATCTGTGTCTGAAGCTGCACGAAATGCGGAAGAGTGCCGTGAACTCGCACGCACCTTTACGTCTCGAGAACAACAGCGCCAGAAAGAAAACAACGTCGACTCTTCACAAAGCCCCAGCTATTCCCCGGGATCACTTGTATGGCTGGCTGTTCCTTACCAAACCCCCGGCATTTCCTCAAAACTCGTTCCAAAGTACGAGGGCCCATACCGCGTTTTGGAGCAAACCTCGCCGGGGAATTTTCTCATCGAGCCACTTTCCCCATCTGACGACATGCGCCGGCGTGGACGTGACATCGTCCACGTCGCCCGCCTTAAGCCATATTATAGCCCTCTGCCTCCAGACTCTTAGGTCGCCAGGACGGCTCTTTTTCGGTAGGGGCAAATCGTGAAGAAGAAAAAGCGTCATTGGCAAGCAACATCGCCACCGCTTGGGTACTGGGTGCTGGGCTTCGCTCGCTCGGCTCGTGCTGATCATCGCCGGCATCTGCTTGACCGTTGCTCTTGCACGATCGTGTTTCTTCGTAGGACCACCGTCACAACAGTCGTCAATAAACCCTTTTTCAATATATATATATATATATATATATATATATATATATATATATATATATATATATATATATATGTATATATATATAGCAGGATATATGCTAAGGAGAAACATCAAATATTGGGGGCAGAAGGCTACGTAAGAGCTACTGCAATGCAGAGCTGAGCAGGCACCTGTGAACTGTGTTCACCCCAGCGTGCTTGGGACTCTGCTTATCGCTTCTTTCTTTTTTTTATTTGTCTCTTTCCGCCCTTTCGTCTCTTCTCCGAGTGTAGGGTAGCAAACAAGACGAGCGGCTGGCTAACCCCCATGCCTTTCCTAGCTTTCTTCCTCAGATTATGTGTAGACCACTTCCATTCTAAATTGAGCTCGTGATTTCAGATTGATTGTAAGAAGGCGGCTTAAAAGACAAATGCCTGTAGTTTCGTATTTCATGCCATGATTCCAGAGTCAGTTTGCCCGCGGGAATTTGTGAGTTTCGGAGAAATATTACATATCTTCACTATTGTAACCGGGTTCTTATGAAACTTTTTGAGGTCATTTGTAGGCTGTCTTATCTCGATAAACGTTGTTAGCAAAACACATGTAAAACAAAGAAGAATACACCAAATTTATCAAGTTCACACAATCTCAGTTCGTGCAAGAGCAGGGCACTTTGCGCGCCTCCATTCCACTCATACTCAGGTGTACATTCGCCAAGCTTCCTAGACGTTCGCGAAAGTTTATTAGCCCTCTATCGCTAACCAAATCATAAGATGAAGCACTACCACCCAATTATTCAAGTACAATTACTCTAGCAAGCCGACAGAAATTCTTCCTTCAGTGTAACCCACATTGAAATCATGTAGACCCGTGCCAGGAGTCACTCAAGCGTTTCGCTGCAGCAGGGGGAAGGGGGCATTTTCGCTTGCCTTTATCAACATCGAAGCCCTGTAGTGACACAGAGAGGACATGAACGTAGCAACATAAGGGTTATGGGCCTCAGATGAACAATACATGCTTTCGGCTATGGCCAACGTTGTAGATAATGGGCGTTCATAAACACGGCGCGTAATACAGTAATAGAAAAACAGCTTGCATAGCCATTTAGCATGATCCCTGATTTGAGAAAAAGCATTCACCTCACCTAACAATTTCTTTTAATACTACGAAGTCATTATCACCGTCTATGATATACGAACGATAATACGCATATATCCCTGATTTACGTGACTTTCACTTGCACAATGTATTTCCCGGAGTCGTACCATACCCTTCCCAGTGTTACATCTCCTACACAGGTGCGCACACGTGTGGCTTCAGAAAAGTGCATATGCGAAGCGTATGAGCAGAAATATTCAGACAGCCGTATTTGAACTCGACGCCTGTAGTGTCGATACTCGAGGCTCTGCTGGTATGCCACGAGTTTTTAGATGCGGAGCATCTAATACTCGAGGCTTGTAGTGCGGCGCCGTCCGCAAGCTTCCTCCTCCTCCTTCCACCATCTCTGCATCCCTTCCTCCTCTACACACCGCGCGCTCTTCACTCCTCCACCATCTCTGCACCCTTCCTCCTCTACACACCGCGTGCGCTTCTCCTCTTCACGAACATTCGCTAGGTGTATAATGTAGCGCGCATGCGCCGTCACGCTTCGAGAACATCGGCAGCTGACGCGCGCGCATGCGCCGTCGCGCTTTGAGAACATCGGCAGCTGACGCGCGCGCATGCGCCGTTGCGCTTCTCCCCCTTCTCGAACATTCGACAGCTGACGCGCGCATGCACCGTCACCCACCATCTGTGCCACGCGCGCTTCTCCCCTTCGAGAACATTCTACAATTCTCCTGATTCTCCAGTGGACGCGCATGCGCCGTCGCGCTTCGAGAACATTCAACAGCTGACAGTGCATGCGCCGTCGCGCTGTATATATACTCAAGGTCGGCGCTCGCTCGCTCAGTTGCCGCTCGTCGGTTGGTTTGTACGGCGCGTCGACGTCCAAGGTCGCGGTGAAATAAATGTCAACGAATCCACAAACACAATGATCGACGTCTCTTCGACCAGCGCCACCCTTTCGCATACGTGTGTACGTGTTCACTCATTTAACACCCCCTCCTACAACCACGTTAACCAATTTAGCCATCGACCCAAGTAAGTCGCAATTTAACACCCCATTTCACAACCACGTTAACCAATTTAGCCATCGACCCAAGTAAGTCGCACTTTAACACCCCGTTAACGAATTATATGCTCCGCATTCTCCTCAGTGTTCCCCCGAGGGAAGCTGCGGGCAATCTTTTTTTCTGTTACCAGATATTGCGGATACCAGATAGCACTACCTGGCTCCACCACCCTTTCAACAAAATTTGCAGTGAAACATGCAGATACGGGGCCAATGTTTTATTGATTGATTGATTTTTTCTAGCGGTATGACTTAATAACCAACTCAATTTTTATAATTCCCACTTTTAAACAAAGCCGCCCGCATCTTCCCACGGGGGGAACTCGAGTGAATGCGTCACACAGCAGTGGCGATATCACGTGAATAATGCGTAATTAGATATCTTTTGGGAATACCTAATTGCCATTTCGTCAATATTATACTTATTGGATGAAGGAGAAGCGTTGGCTTCAACGAGTGGTGGTACGCTCATGTTAGGCTGTGCCCCACTACTAGTTGCAGGTATACTGTTGCTTACATCTACTCGAGCCAAACAAATCGTCCAGTCAGGCGAAAGCCAAACAAAGGTGTCCTTGGCTGAATTTCGAACGCGCAATTCCGTGCCTAGATATGCGAGGTGGCCAGTGAACGGTTGTGCAGCGCGAGCAGTCAGTTTTCTTCCTAGCAGACACTGCCTGCGTCAGCCTTTCGAGCCGAGAAAGGGGGAGAGGAGCGACAGTTTTGCGGGTGTCTTCCTGGGCAGGCACGAGACGCGAGCATGCGCAGTAGGGGTACACGGCGGGACAGCGTTACACAGGCTAGTCAAAGAGCTGCTCCGCATCTAAAAACACAGCGCTTTCAATTTAGTAATCGCGAAGAACACTATATTCCTTCGTATGATTGCCAGTTACATATGCAAGCTTCAAAGAATCTGCACGAAAGCGAACAAACGCTTGTTTTCTGCACTCAAACACTTGAATTAACTCGCCTTGACTTACCCAAAACTTTCTCTGGAACTTGAACGCGCCGAAAGGCATCAAGAAGACCGCGATCATCCAGGCCAAGCAGCAGAGTGTGGGGTAGGTGCCCGCTCTCTCGGCAAGGAGCCAGAGTACCACGGGCATGGTGATGAGTCCACCAATTGGCATGGGGAACACCATCACGCTAAGCGCCAGTGTGCCGCAGTCCACCGCCAGCAGAGACACCACGGCGCCGGTCGGGTAGGTGTTCCTCATGGTCGCAGGCATGTGGACCGCCTGAAAGACGACAGGCGCCCGTCCGTAAATTTCATAAGTACGCAGTGACATGTTCGGAGTTAGCCATAGGCGTACGCACATGGGCAGGGTGGGGGAGCGAACTCTTCTGTCAAACGCACGGGAAAGGGTGGCCACCCCCTAGTGGCCTAAGAGGGGAATGCAAATAAGCTTTATATACACAATAGGGAGGGGTGCACTGTGATTTGGCAGGGCGAGGGATGTAAAGTCAGCCCCCTACAGTGACATAATAGGAAGGAAACGCTGCTTAGAACTTTTGGCTAACTTCTTTCATCTAGGGACCTTACTTTGGACCTTCTTAACGTTGAAACCTGCCCCGCCTATGAGGAGGTGTTGCTATGGGGCCAGGAGCTTTAAAGTTAAGAAAACTACTCCCCATTATTTCTTTGATCACGACGGTCTCGTTCGGGCAGACTCAGCGTCTGCAAGTAGCATGAAAGTGTTCATTCGTCAGCTGTAAATTAGTTATTTCATCAAGTGATACATTACGCAAGCTGGCAGAATGTGTGTTTCAGCTTGCCGTCATAGATGCGAGTGGTTCTAGTTAAGGATGCACGCGACAGCGACGAGCGACGCTATGAACGACGAAACAGGGCGTTCGCGCGACGTGTCGCGTGCTCGTTTTCGCGCAATCGCTCGGTTCTCCAGATTTGGAAACCGTCACTCATCGCCCGGAAGTGCTGGGCTCAGGCAGCCAATAGAAAAAAACCGGAAAAGGATATACATCAGTGACGTACTGCCGGTTGTTTTCACGTGCTTTTCAGCGCTCTGTCACAACTCGCCAAGGATCCACTGCAAGTGAACCTGCCCAAATCACATGGGCGCAACAAAAAATAACGCAATGTTTATTACGCATGTGCATATAAAAAAGTGCTGCAAGGCAATAATAAACACTTTCCGTTCCATTGCACAACAATATATCTTATTTTTAAATTGGAAACCGCTCGCTACGCGGTTTTCTTGGTGCGAGTGGTCGGCCTCATGCCAGCAACAGTGGAATTCGCTCGCTGAAGCCGTCGCGTGAATGAGGTTTGCCTGCGCTAGCGACTGATCGCGCGAAGACGATCTACGTCACGTCGCTCATCGCTGTCGCGTGCATTTTCGCGCTTATGTGGTTTGGGCTTAACATTACCATGATCATACGCGCAGAGAAATACCGAACAAAGTGAATGGGAAAACGATGATCACTCTTCCTTAATCGGCATAGCATGGGACGCATGTGTTATCCGAGGGCTGTACGTTCGGTCAGATTCAGCGGCAAGTTGAGTTATCTACTTTGATTCCATTCTATGTTACCATTGCCAAACTGCGCTGAATACTACACATCAATTTTCCCTATGTTTCCCTTCCCTTCATTGCCTGTTGATGTGTCTAAATGTATACTACATCAAACATGAGTAACTAGAAGGCATATTGGTCAAATACTAAAGTGGTTTCAATGCTCGAAACGTTTATGGCCTGTTTAACCAAAAAAGGCTAAAGTTTGCATTTATGTACGCTTTCTTTTCATTGAAAGCCCCACTTATTTGTGGTAAATATTACGTAAACTAAGTTAAGTAATTTTTCCACGTCAATATATCAATAGTGTACAGATCAATATATTAATTAATTAACCTAGTACTGAATGACACTATCGACTTCATGATTATGTATGCTAGTTTTTACACATACACTCTCCCTAAATATAAATAAATGGGAACAGGTTGTTTCAGCGTCCGTAAGCCTTGAATGATCTTTCTGCTTTGAAAAAGCCGGCGCGAGCATGAAAAAATCACATTTTTGGCAAAGTGCTACGCACGAAACGAATAGTCTAGCGACTTAATTAAATATATATATATATATATATATATATATATATATATATATATATATATATATATATATATATATATATATATATATATACCATGCTTAGGTATCATTTCGAGTATAGGATGCATTCAAGTATTAAATAAAGCATTTATTAGCGAACTTCGGCGACATTGAGCATATCTATCTACCTATCTATCTATCTATCTATCTATCTATCTATCTAGCCGCTTCCGTTTAGGTGCTCAGGTGGACACGACATTTACTTGGCGTGAGCCAAAATTAGCATGAGAGGGTAAGATGGTTTCACGAATATGACGCGCTTGTCGAGACAAGAATTATGTCACAAACCCGTCGCGTACGTCGTCAAACACTTCCAGCCAGACAGTGGCACATACCCACGGGCGGGTATGTGCTGCTGGTATGTGGGCATGTGCCACAAGTGATTGACACTTGTTATCTGCTCAGGAACGACTGGAACACCCATGGGCAATTTTAACGCACGAGTGTTAAGAAATACCCGACGTCGGTAGCGTCGACCCGACGAGTCCCAGCTGGAATCGAACCCAAGCATTCTGAGTGCCAATGAAGAATTTCACCACAGAGCTACGCCAGGTCTCGGAACAACTTTTCAAATAGACGCTTATCTTCGCGAAAGGTTAAAAGTGGTTGCAGTGTTGCCTACCCAGTTTTATAAACATTACTCAAGTACTATTTCGATACAGCCGTCACTTAGGGTTAACGTCAGATGTGGTTAGTTGACATGCGTTAAAGTTGATTTATGTAGCAGTGCCCGGGGCCAGCATCTTCGCAAGAATCAGCGCTTCATATCAGCCTCTGGTGTTGCAAATGCGCATGGTCCAGTTGACATCATTGTGCAAGGCCATACAACTGGTTATATAAACATCTGCAGCTCTTCAACAAATGACTGTGCGTGCAACATTTGTACATATATTTAGCGTCATTTCATTACGTCTCACTCAATAAAAAAATACAGCAAGGTCACCTTTCCTCCACATGCTTCGCATAACGTGGATTCCCAGGTCCGTGTATTCTGCAGATTTTTTTTTCTTTCATGTTGTATTCAAGGGGTCATTCGTATTTTTTTCATTGCATAGTTGGTGAACCATACGGCTAGGCCGAATAATTCAAGCGTCATAGTGATCGGGATGTGCTAATTCTGTCGGCACACTTATTCGTTCTGTTCTAAAGCAGTTGCTCTGTGAGAGATATAAGAAAGCAGCATAACCACTCAGTGTTTGCAAATATACTTATAATGGGAGAAAGAGAAAAGGCAAATGAAGGAATAAGCGCGAGCGAAAAAAGGATGATGATTTTAGGGGCGCCTAACCTGATACACAGAATGAATGGTCATGAAAAATAAAGTGTTGTGATTACCTTGTTAAAAATGGCCCCCTGCATCATGGCTCGCATGCGGCAACCGAACACGATGATGATGTCCATATGATAGACCGACACTAGATACTCGGCCGCGCTGACCGCAACCAGCAAGATGGCCGCCGCCGTCATGTCTCCTCGGGTGGAGCTGGCCATTAGTAGCCTGCACAATGAAGTAAATTACTCGTGCCGATCCACAACAATGCGAGAGACTTGAAGTTACACCATATTCCACTAAAGGGGATCATGAGTAGCATGCAAAGCAGCGCATGGGTCGAGTAAAAGCTCAATTAATCCGGGCACCTTGCCCTATGGTAACGCTTCCTTTCAAGGAAAGCACACCATAAATTCAGTTAGTTTCTGTTGCTGTTACTCGTCCCGATCTCTTGTTGGTGCGTGCCACGCCACGTGAGATCACGTGGTTTCTTGCGTGTCTGCAGAATGTTGTTCCCCTACTCCATCGTGTTATTGCCTAGAGGGTGTAAGCGAGAGAGGCCACAGCCTCGTACACAGCCTATTCCGCAGGCCCACGCGCAGAAGAAAGTTCGGGCCTGCGTTCCATAGAGGAGAGCGGGCACGTTAGAATAAAGAAAAAAGGAGACGGGACGCGCATGTGCTGTAGGGGTGTGGATGCCACGGAAGGGGAGAGAAGGGAAGCGTAGAAGAGGAGAGAGGGGGGGTAGGGGTGGTCACGCCGCGCACTCCAATGAACTCCGTCTTAAGCTGCTTCCTATCTAATAATGCTAGTGAACACGTATATCCCTATTTAGAACAACTGTACGGGCCAGCCGGGTGGACGAAAAAATCGGCGTATTTTGAGTCTAAGTTTGTATTTCAAGTTCAAAGGTAGAATAATGAAATAGGTATAGAGATGCATCATGAATATGCCCCCGAAAGATACCAGTAGCGCGTACAGTGTATAATTATTACTGAGACGTAGGACAAGTCATTGGCCATACAGAGTCGCAATAATGGCGAGAACTGCTGCACAATTGCTGCATAACTAAGCTATAACTGTTGCATTTTATTTATAGTTTATATTTTGCCTTGTTTGTAAAAAATTGCTGATGTGCTACTCTGAACATTTCGAACCACCCTTCTGACTTGTAACACTTAAAAAAGCTGCCCTTCCGTTGTTTGTGTTTTAGTTTCTCCTAATACACAGATGGTCGCGCCTGTGGTTTGTAACCTTGGAACCTCCTCCTTCATAATTATTTGCATTGTACTACATTTCTGTTGCTAATAAATAAAGATTGATTGATTGGTTGATTGATTGATTGATTGATTGATTGAATGATTGATTGATTGATTGATTGATTGATTGATTGATTGATTGATTGATTGATTGATTGATTGATTGATTGATTGATTGATTGATTGATTAAACTACAGTTTTTAATGTTCGCGCAGCTTTGAATTACGCCATTCTGTCGTTATGAAGGAATTTTGTTGTGCAAGCAAAGGCGTACATCAGTTCATCCATTCCACAATGAAATGGTACACTAATTTATAATCCTTTAATAAAGCTCATTCGATACGCAGCCCTCACAGCGCAAGATAATGAAGCTTAAACAAGAATTACCAAGGTATGTCCAAGAAGATGACAAACACTGAATTGTTCAATGTTCATTTCAGAATTGCGGTGTTTCTGCCACAGAAATGGCTAACCACTCAGCGAGTGACTACGAATGCCATACACATGTTCGGTTACGCTAATCCTCTTCCCGGCAAAACGTGCTTGTTATCACTTTTATGTCACAAAGCACAACACCAAGTCATGACTAACGCGCGGGAACACTTCAGTCTGCGTCTCTGAGCAAGAAAATGAAGACACCACCGACAAATATTGCTACATGCATATATATTGATATTCTTGGGGGCGACGCGCGTCTGTGCCTGACGAGGAAGACGAAGGGTTGTGTCCGCTCGATCACTGGTGAACCGGTCACGCCTTTATCGCTGGTTTTGAATACATCTCATCCCCAGCCTCGTCGATACCACGTCCGTTCTTTTCCGTAACATATTTGGTAGAAGTGGAACGTTCCCGTCTTCCCCACGAAACTTCGCAGTGGCCGCGCCGTTCAGTCTCCGGCCATGGCTACCAATGACAACAACCCGTCAGGGTCTCCATCTGTATCTCCAGCCACAACATACCTGACGATGCCCACATCCCGTGATCCCGGTACATTCTCCGCAAAACCAGGGCTTGACGTTGACTGCTGGCTCCGTATGTACGAGCGTGTTAGCCAGACACACCGATGGGACCCTACCATGATGTTCGCCAATGTAATATTTTACTTGGACGGCACCCTACGGGTCTGATTCGACGCCCATGAGACCGAGCTCACCAGCTGGGATACCTTCAAGGAGAGACTACACGACATCTTTGGGGACCCGTCTGGTCGTCAAATGGGTGCGCGAAAAGAACTCGCCACTAGTGTGCAGTCCTCAACTGAGTCGTATGTCTCGTACATACAGGACGTGCTCGCGTTGTGCCGAAAAGTGGACGAGCAAACGACAGAGAGTGACAAGGTGGGCCACATACTCAAGAACATCACGGACGAAGCCTTCAACTTGCTCGTCTACACCAACGTCACGACCGTAGATATGATTATCAAGGAATGCCGCCACTTCAAAATGGCCAAAAGCCGCCGTGTTCTGCCTCAATTTACGCGGCTACCAACACTACTGTTACATCCACCTACATCGACCTCGGTGCCGCACCAACCATGCAGGACAGCGTGGCACAAATAGTTCGACGGGAGCTTGAGGCGTCAAGTCCGGCACCCTTTCCTCTACGTTCGCTCGACTATGGCGCCGCACAAACGCCGCTGGCGGTCTCCACTATTCAAGCCGTCATGAGGCAGGAAATTGCAAAGCTCGGTTTTCCTGTAACCTGCTCTGTCTCCCGACCCATCTCCAGACCAATGACAACAAATGCACCACGCCAAGACTCACATTTTCTTCCACGTACCCGAAATCCGGCAGAATGGAGGACTGCAGACGAGAAACCAATCTGCTTCAGCTACCACCGAGTTGGCCATATCTCCCGCTACTGCCGCAGCACTTGGACGCCCTCAACTGGAGCCCATTTTCCTCTTCTCACCCAACCTAGGATTCCCGTCGATATTCGCCCAGTCGTGTGTACCCTGCTTCTGACGTCCCCAACAGGCACTCCACCACTCGGTGACCGTCACCTCAACGCCGCCGTTCCCCATCGCCCCAACCACGCCGCTATCCATCGCCGGTAAACTATGGATCCTCTCTGACGGAAAACTAGATCATGCAGCTCCGGGAGGTAGTGCTGCATCACTTGCGACTGATCCAAATCCTCCGTTGACGCTCCCCACTAATACTAACTTGATTGAGGTGTATGTGCACGGTATTTCTTTGACGGCGTTAGTTGATACCGGAGCTCAAGTGTCTATTATGAGTGCTTATCTGTGTCGCCTGCCCAAAAATGTCCTCACGCCTGCAGCAACTAAAATCCTACGTGTCGCTGATGGTGGAACTGTGGCCATCACTGGAATGTGTACCACTCGTGTTAGTATTGCCAGCCGCCATGTCCCAGTTTTATTTACGGTGCTTGAAAATTGCTTCACAACCTAATCTTCAGCGTGGACTTCCTATCGACGCATTCTGCCCTGATAGATATTGCCGCCGGTACTCTCTGCCTAGCACTTCCTCTTCTCCCGGATTCTCACTCTGCACTTCCGAACAGCCTGTGCACCACTGACTTATTCCGGATACCGCCTAAAGCTCTCACATACGTTGAATTGGCAACACCCTCTCCCGTGCTCAACGGTGATTATATTGTGACACCGATTACTGATGTTCTCCTGGTGCGTGACATTACTGTCCCACACTCCGTCATAACCTTGGCCTCTAACCGAACATATTTACCTGTTATCAATTTTGGTTTCATAAACCACGTGCTACCCCAAGGAATTTTGGTCGCCACGCTAAGACCCTAATTGATGACCATGTCACCTGTTTTACGGCAGACGTATGTCCCGAGCACCCACATCACTCGCAGGATGCCACGTGCCTCAACGCGACCTTACGCTCCATGATCACCCCGGACCTCAAACCTGAGAAGTCAGCCGCGCTGTGCCGCCTTCTGGCTTCATACCGCGACATATTGCACATTGACAGCCGTCCACTCGGCCAGACTTCACTCGTCACGCACCGCATCAACACAGGTGATCCCATCCCATTCATCGGTGACCATACCGGGTGTCTGCCACCGAGCGTAAAGTAATTCAACAAGAAGTCACCAAAATGTTAGCCAAAGGAATGATTGAACCCTCTTCGAGCCCCTGGGCATCCCCCATTGTGCTCGTTGAAAACAAAGATGGCACGTGGCGCTTCTGCGTGGATTACTGTCATCTGAATAGAATCACGAAAAAGGACGTTTACCCTTCACCCCGCATCGATAACGCTCTCGATTGTCTACACAGCGCCAGATACTTTTCTACAATAGACCTACGTTCCGGCTACTGGCATATTGCTGTCAACAAAAAAAGACCAAGAGCAGCCTGCATTTGTAACTCCAGACAGCCTATATAAGTTCGAGGTTATGCCGTTAGGGCTATGCAACGCCCCAGCTACGTTCGAGCGCATGATGGACTCTCTGATACAAGGGTTCAAATGGTCAACATGTCTTTGTTATCTTGACGATGCCGTTGTATATTCCCCAACATTTGAGACCCACCTTCAGCGTTTGTCAGCTATTCTCGACGTATTCCGCACTGCAGGCCTTCAATTAAACTCGTCGAAGTGCCACTTTGGACGCCGGCAAATTACAGTGTTGGGCCACCTTGTCGACGCCTCTGGTGTGCAGCCGGACCCCGAGAAAATTCGTGCAGTCGCCAGTTTTCCTGTACCCCAGTCAGCCAAAGACTTCCGGAGTTTTGTAGGACTTTGCTCCTATTTTAGAAGGTTTGTGAAAGATTTCGCAACCATCGCTCGGCCCCTCACAGAGCTTCTGAAGAAAGACGTCACATTTACGTGGGGTACCGACCAAGCTGCTGCTTTTTCTCACCTAATCACGCTACTGACGACTCCACCCATATCGGCTTACTTTAACCCATTCGCTCCGACGGAAGTTCGAACCGATGCTAGTGGTCACGGAATTGGAGTCGTGTTAGCCCAATGCCAACGGGTACACGACCGAGTTGTCGCCTAGGCTAGCCGCCTCCTCACAGCTGCTGAGCGCAACTATTCTATTACGGAGCGTGAATGTCTTGCTCCTGTTTGGGCAGTCTCAAAGTTCCACGTATATTTATATGGCACTAATTTCTCTGTGATAACTGACCATCATGCGCTATGTTGGCTTACGCCACTGAAGGATCCTACTGGCCAGCTCGGGCGCTGGGCTCTGCGACTCCCAGAATATACCTACACGGTGACGTACGAGTCCGGACGCCTACATCAAGATGCAGACTGCCTGTCCCGCTACCCGGTCGCTGAGTCGAACACTATGCCGGACACCGACACCGAGCCTTGCGTCTTTTCTCTTTCGCAAATGACATGCATCGGTGACGAGCAGCGCCATGATACGTCCTTACGTGCTATCATTGAGCGCCTCGAATCACCATCTTCCAGTCAGTCCCATCGCTCATTCGTGCTCCACGATGGTGTATTATACCGCCAAAGTTGTGAGCCGGATGGACCGGCTCTGCTGCTTGTCATTCCGAAACACCTTCGCTCGGAAGTTCTACATGAACTTCATGACCTTCCTACTGCTGGTAACCTTGGTGTGTCACGCACTTATGACCGAATACGCCGACGCTTCTTTTGGCCAGCGCTTGCACGCTCAGTCAGAAGATACGTTGCGGCTTGTGAGAAATGTCACCGCCGCAAAACACCATCGACACTTCCCGCCGGACGCCTTCAACCACTTGATATTCCGTCAGCACCGTTCTTCCGCGTTGGCTTCTACCTACTTGGCCCTTTCCCCTTGTCTTCCTCGGGTAACAACTGGATAGCCATGGTCACCGACTACGCCACGTGTTATGCCATGACACGAGCTCTTCCAACAAGCTGCGCCACGGATGTCGCCGACTTCCTCCTCAAAGACGTGATTTTGCAACACGGAGCCCCACAGCAGCTGTTTACAGACAGTGGCCAAACCTTTTGGTCGAAGGTTATAGCCGACATCTTGCAGTCCTGTAAAACGAGACACAACCTGACTACGTCATACCACTCGCAAAGCAATCGACTCACGGAGCATCTAAATCGAACTCTTACAGACATGCTCACTAAGTATATTTCTACCAACCATACCTACTGGGATCTCGCGTTGCCGTACGTCACATTTGCCTACAATTCTTCCCGCCATGACATTGCTGGTTACTCTCCATTTTTTCTGCTGTTTGGCCGAGAACCTACATTGTCTCTAGACACCGTCATACCATCCCCTGGAGTACTGACCAGTGAATATGCCATGGACGCTATCACTCGGGCCGCTCACGCACGTGAAATCACCCGTACTCGCCTCCTGAACTCTCAAGAGAAGCAACGGTGCTTGTATGACCAACGACACCACGACGTACACTTTCCGCCCGGTTCTTCGGTCCTGCTTTGTTCTCCGACCCGTCAAGTTTGCTTGTCAAAAAAACTGCTTACTCGCTACACAGGTCCATACCGAGTCCTTCGTGTGGTTACTACTGTAACATATGAAATTGTCCTACCACCCTGTCACCTTCATGTGCCCAACATGCTACCGATATTGTACATGTTGCGCGCTTGAAGCCCTACAACTCTCTTAGTGACATTTACATTTAGATGCGCCGAGACGGCGCTTGTGCCGCTGGGGGTTATGCTACATGCATATATATATTGATATTCTAGGGGGCGACGCTCGTGTGTGCCTGACGAGGAAGACGAGGGTTGTCTCCGCTCGATCACTGGTAAACTGCTCACGCCATTAAAGCTGGTTTCGAATACATCTCATCCTCAGCCTCGTCAACACGCCGTCTCTTCTTTTCCGTAACAATATAGAAGTTACAACACGAAATAAACACACATCTACCATTGCCCTGAATGACTTAGTGGTAGCGTGTCAAGACTCGTAGTCTGATATTTGTCCAAATGTCATGGGTTCCAGTATGACTCGGCAAGCTTTCTTTAACGTTTCTGACTTTCTTTCTACTAGTGATCGTTATTTAGCCATCATTATAGTCTGCACGTGATGAAACTTGTCAAAAATAATTCTAAAGCCTAATTTTGGTTGATGAATTACCAACTGACCCCATCATTCACTTTGATTACCCAATTTTGGCTGGATTTCTGCTATATTTTTTCGTGAGTTGCAGTACTATACTTTTTGGCGGGGCCATGCTACTTCATTTTGGCGAGAGTTATGTTACTCTGTTAAGACGAAGCACTGCCGCCCTTCCAATCTGGAAAACAGTGTGGGATATGGGACGAGGAAATACCTTCCTAAAGGGAGTCCCTTAGATGTTAGAGTGTAGTGAAGCAGAGTCCAACCGACCAGTCATGTCAAAGCCAATCATCGTTGCTTTCCTCATGTTTCACATCCGCACTTCCATAACACAAACCACCACACGTTCTGGTATTCATCCATAGCCATCAAGACTATGAGTAGTATCAGCAGTGCATACAACGAATCGACTGAAATGGATGAGACAAAAGTTACACAATCTCCCGTTAAATGAAACCTTGTGTAGATGCGAAGCAGTGGGCGCTATCGGTTACAGTGGAGGTGACGTTCACACTGGCACTCATCGCGTCATTGCACAAGAGAGAAACCCTGGGAGTCGCAAAGGGCGCATTGAATGACCAGTATTTCCTACTAGAACATGTCACTCGCTGCTCATGGGCAACGAGGGAGAGAAGACTTCGACTAGACACGTAGACCTGCAGTCCACTTTCAGTTGTTGCGCATGCTGTGAATTTTTACTGTTCGAAAAACGCGCAGGAGCGATCTCCCATTGGCACTACCTTGGAGGTCAAAGTCCAGTTCCCATATGCACGGTGCGGCCTGTGAACGGTTGTGGAACACGGGCAGTCGGTTTTCCCAACCAAGAAATTCGCTTAGCGTGCTCTGCCTGCGTCGGCCTCTACGAGGCAACACAAAGGGAGGTGGCAGCGTAAGGGAAAAGTGAGAAGGAGGGAAAGTGCATGCGCAGGGGGGAGTAAAAGTGGTGGGGAGGAATGCTTAGATGAGAAAAAGGGGGAGCTGAGATAGGTTAGGGCAGCGGGGAGGAATGCCCAGAGGAGAAAAAAAAAGGGGGGGGGGGAGCTAGGATAGATTAGCAGACGCTCTCTGCGCCGGCGTTGTGAGGCGAGATACGGGGGAGCGTAGGAGAGATGGGAGAAGGAGACCAGACGCGCATGCGCAATAAGAATGGTCACGCCAAACACCAGATCAAGCTCGACCCTAAGCTGCTTGGCACCTAAAAACGAAGACTCACTCGAGTGCAGGCACCCTGGCAAGTAGACATCCGAAATAAGCCAATGTGCAGACGGTGACTCGGACCACGTCCACCCAGAGGACGCCAATCATAGACTTCAAGAAGACGCGACGCCTGATGACGTCCTTTTTTCTGTGGTGTCATTGAAGAGAGAACTCTGGTTAGTCGGAAATCATCGCTTTGGCTGTCGCATGGTTGGTTCTTTGGATATATAAGTGCGTTATTAAGAAGCATAATTTGGACAGTAAAGTGAGGTTTCAGAATTAACTGATCAGGGGCTACTCAAAGAACTCCAGCATCTTTTTTTGGCTGAAATTGGGAGAAACTCATTCAACTACTAGGTCACCTAAACTAGGACTTGAAAGCATAAGGCATACAAAACCTAAAGCAGAGAGCCAGTTATGCATAAAGAAGTTTTTGATCAGTATGAAGACTACCATATGCACTCGTATAAGGTGAAAAGTTCTATAAGGTTTGCTGGGTGTGTATTACCTTACCCATTCATTCTTGCAACTGTGGAGCAAAATAATAAAGCGTAATAATAGAAATGATTCTCACTGCTATTGATTATTCACACCCTACGACACTACCCATTAGAAAATCTTACCAATTGATTTTCAACGTTTTTTTTTTTACCTTGGTTCGTTCAGGCATTCATGAATTAGTTAATGGAAGATACGCACGTGAAGCGAAAGCACACATTGCAGTGCGGAATGCTTTATGGCGATATGTATGAAGAAGGCATACGCATTTCAATGGAAATGTCACTGTAAGGTAATTAGCAATGAAACGCAACATAGAATTATCACAAGCAAAAGTCAATGCATGGCTAATACTTCCTCTAACGTTGATGTCGAGCACTCTTTGCTGATGACTGACAGGTATGGGGTGGATACCTAAGCCCGTCGTACGCAATACAGACAGGCTGTGGCATGCAAAACATTATATAATAAGTACACCTCCCTACAAGTAAATTTGTTTCATATTTTTACCACTTGCATGTTACAATTTTGAATAGCACAGGCGTACAAGCGGTGATAATAAATATGGCGAGCTGTGTTTTCCAAATGAATTCTGCTCTTGCTTAACTGTGTCCTCGGGTAATTGCTGGTATTTTTCTGCAAGCAGTTGCTTTGAGGCTGATGTTAGTTCAGCCGATAAAGCAACTAGAGCCATCGACAGCTGTTCGTTAGTGAAGTTCCTGTTTGCTGTGGCAGATTTCTATCATTTCATGTGTCACTGAATTTACGTAGATATGGTGCAATATATTCAATTGTTATATATAATGCTTTCATACCACATCAAGCCAGTTTTTATTTCACAAGCGTAACAAACTGACATATCTTAACTAATCACTATGGCGTCTGTAAACTAAAAGGAGAATTTATATGTGCAAGACATTTTTTCCTGTAGAAGTCCTAAAGTTTCAGTTGTGTTTTCAGTATTATGTCAATAGGTGCTTCCTGTTTTCTTGTGTGAATTTGAAGTTTTATCTAGCCGAAAACTTTATTTTTCCTTGGCATCTTTAAGCTGTCATCTTTAATTGAGAAAGGGCAGAACACTAAATTTTTCTTCCCGTTTTCTTGTTGAGTTATATCCACGTTGTTGTTCTAAATTGAGAAAGAAGAGCTTTCTCCTACGTGCGATGAATGACCAATTGCGACATTTCTCGACACTTGCCCGCGTGTGATGAACGTGTTGAGGTACGTCACCAAGTCCTTACACCTCATTCCACGTCTCAGCTCTGGAAATTCAGAGTCCATGTCTTTGGTTCCACGGATCTGCTCTCGAAAGAGGCTGCGTATAAAAGAAGCAGCACATAAATTAGAAAGGTTTCCTAAAACAACTTGTTTTGTAAGTTATAGTAACCGCCTCCTTGTATTACCTCTTTTTTCTGCTTTTAGTGTCTTACTTTCTGCCATAAATTGAAGAAAGCGCTTATTGAGCTAATGACAGCTTTTGCAGTGGACCATAGCCTAGCTCCAGCGCAGCCGCCGTCAAAATGATTTTACATAAGTGAGTAGAACTCTGTTAATAAATTATTCACTGTATTGTGGTAATAGGTACATTTTACACTTGGTACAGTTAATTTAGTGTAGGTGATGAAACAGTGTGATTAGGACAAGGAGACCAAAGGAGGAAGCGCCATGGGACAAACACCATAGTATTTGCTTACCTACATCCTCTGCTCTACTTATGAACCAACTCATTCTGATAAAGAGGAAGTGTAGAAGAATAGGGAAAAAAAGGGAGGGGACGCGCACGCGCAATAGCATTTACAGCGCCCTCGTGCATGCGCGTCTCTTTCTCTCTTTCTTTTCTCCTGCGCCTTCTTCTCTCCTACTCTTTCAAGGAAGAATGCCTATGAGAGCATCCCGAGGAGCATATAGTTTCCTAAATATACACTAGAGGGAGCTCTGACCCTCGTGTCTACGGGACCTGTAATGCATAGCACTTCAGCTGTCATTGGGAATTATGGGTATTAGATAGATTCGCCTAGTTTTCGTACTTTACGTTCATTCTGGCATCGCATGGCTTGAAGCTGCTTTGTCACGAAGAGAGAGACAACATTTATTTTTTTTTAAAGATGGTTCATCGTGGGTGGGGCCCTTCTTCCAAGGCTCTACTGGCTATAGCGGCTTCGCGGGCCTGACCTAAGGTCGCCAGTTGGCTTCCCAGGGTCCGTTCAGCGAGCCGCGCCTCCCACGACAACGTACGTATTGGATGCGTATGTCCTATGTCGACTGTGACAGGTCAAGAAACTACAATCGGTAAATGTTCGGCAGTTACGCTTCATCACCTTAATTTTTTAGGCTTACCACTTCGAATAGGGTCCCAAAGTGAAAAACGGTGTGCTCTTTCCTGCGAAACAAAACCAAAAGACAGCAATAAACGAAGCTACAAGTGTGAATCGCCACCTGCAAGCACGAAGACTCGGCTAATATATGTCATACCCATAATTTTGATGGTCACTGAACGATCGCAGCACCAATGTCTCCTCTAGTCAATTTTAGGGAACTCAATGCCAAGGAGGGGGTCCCTATGCTCTAGGCATCCCTCCCCCCCTTCCCCCCCACGGTTTTTACACCGCCATAGCGCATGCGGGTCTAAGCGAGCGTACGTAAGCAGAGGCTCCTTGCATGACAGGAGAAAAGTGATGGTAGGAGAAAAGTGGACATAGTGACGCGTAGCTGTTGAAGAAAAGTAAGGAGGGGGGCTGCGCATGCGTAGTGTAAGACCCGAGCCCGAGATGCTCCACATTTAAAAAACTGCCGCCATAAGAGTCGCAAACTGGCAAGTCGATGGGTGATGGTCGTTCCTTCAAGGCAGAGGCCAGCGAGGCGTGGACAGGCTCCACTGGTTCACGGCTCACACTAAGAAAATCTGCTGTTCCTGTTGTTAAAGCGCAGTGTGAGAGCATATACATGAGCGGAGACGTAGGTTACGCTATTACGCGGAAGTGCGTGCCATGCCGTGTGTATGCTCTATGAACGACGTTTTGAAAAGGTTCATATCGATTACCAGTGTTTATTATGTGCTCCCATCTTGATGTGTGAGTCATGGTATGTGGTGTGCAGCCTACTGGACTGAGGCATGATCAATGAACTGTTTTTTAAGGGCGAAGCTCCTCATAGACGAGACGTTGGCGTCGGCGCTGTGTGCCATAGCCCCAGCGGACAATGAAGATCACATCAGTTTATTTCCTTAAAGACCCCTCAATGGGGTATTACCTAAAGGGTGCGTATACAGTATAGCCAGGTAAATTCACTCGGTAAGAAAATTTGTTAAATTGTCCAAGAAGCTTGATGGATTAGTAATGGCTGCAATGTTGTGGGAAAGGCCATTCCAATCTGTTGTTGCTCGGGGGCAAAATGAAGAGGAAAGTGTGAGGGTGCGAGCACGTGGGCGTGACAATTGCTGTTCATGTCCACGGCTATGAGGTGTGCACGTAAGGTGAACGATGTAAGGTGAATGACAGAGATCATGATCGATGACAAGATAATGCTGAAGACGATGAAAAACAAGCACGTTTCAGAACACACATTCTCTTTCTGCCATCACGACAAAGCACATGCTATATACCCGCTATACGTCATGACGATGACGATAATGACGATGTTGCTGACGGACGACTGGCTTGTGCAGTACACGGCGTCTCGATAGGCTCTACGATAAATTTGGTATGACTGAAAAGAAAGTCCAAAACCACCGAGAAAACGTGCCCAGACCTCTTCTTTGACAGCTTCAGGCTATATCTGATACCACGAAACAGTAAAAGTAAAGGTAAAATGAATTTCACAACTCAACAAAATATAAGTCATGACCAATAAGTAATACATATAACTGTACAGCACTTGGCTCTCAAACACATGCATGACTTGTAATTATCTCGGGTGACTTATAATAACACAGAGCAAGCCTACTGCTTCGCCCACTCATCCTCATTCACTTTGTGGAAATTCAGCAATTTTTCTCATTTTGCACACTGATTCGTTCAGCTGAATACCTGTTTTCTGCAACAAAAAATATTATAAATACTGTCAACCTAATACTAATATTTGTATGCGAAGCTGCAGAGGCTATTACGCACCAGAGATGAACTTTAGAAGGACAAACTAACCACATATAACTGCAATGACAAAAGTGGCCCACAGCCTCCTTCTTTTAAGCTTCTGTTTGCTGCATTAGGTTGATGTTCTGTTGTCGCTGAGCTCTTGAGGCTACTGTAGCATTACCAGTCAAATGTCGATAGCATTCACCATTCACATAGCTCATCTCGTCAACCACATATTTTGCAAGGGCCACAGTGGAGCGTTCACTTACGGGAAGAGGGCAGCGACAATAATCTTTCCAAATGGTGACATGTCATCTTCGTTCTTGGGACCGGAAGGTATCTGAAAGTGAAATTACCAAATTATAGTCAGTAATTTTGTTAATATAATCGTAAATCGTATTCAACAGCAGCTGCGTTCTAGTATGGGCCTTATAGACCACCCATTTATCTTATACTTCGGATACTACTCGTATATCGTGTCTTTTGATAAGAATTTACAAATATTTCCTAATGGGGGCGCAATCCTTGTGGAGCGTTGGTTGATCATAGCACAATTCCAACATTATTTGTACAAGAAATCCTAGTTAATTATATTTTAGATAATGCAATCCCATAAACCAACGCTTGAATTATTTATTGTGGTAGCACCTAAATTTTTAAACAGCAGCATACATAGGCGGAAAAATTCTCTACTTTTATTCATTCATTTTTTATTTCTATCGTCGAAATTCTTATAGAATGGTAAAGGCCAAGAAAGGCAGCTTGAGGAGCTCTTGACCCTCGTTCTCTATGGCGGCAGCAGGTAGTGGAGGTGGCAAAAGCAACTCGCTTGGGTTAACCCTACCGAATACATCAATCAAAACTACTTGATTACTTGAAACCAATATACATAAATGCACCTCTGAAACAACCCTGACAGAAGCCTGTGTCTTGCACGGCTGTTCAAGAACCGATATTTCGCAATATGCAACCAACCGCCTCGGTGCATTCGAGGGACCCTCCTCACTACTCTCACCTTGACACGGGAGGACTTCGCAAACACAGTGTCCTGGAGACCAGCGATGACGAAGTTTCCGATGGTCGTAAACGTTAGCAAAACACTGACCACCATCACCGGCTTCTGAAGCTCCACATCAGTAATGTGGATATCCTGCGTTGAAAAGCACGTTTTCCGTTTGAGTACAAGATCGCAGGTTAGATTTCAGGTCCCAATAACTGCATTTATATAAAACGGCGAAGTGAAAAAACCACACGTGCACCTACATTCGTACTCACCTTGAATGATATAAATAAGTTCTACGAAAGCAGAGAAAGCGCGGAGAGAATTGCGAGAATCTGAATAGTTTGCATGCACCCATTTCAAAGCTTGACTCTATAAAGAAAATCACATTGAATTTGAGAAGTGAACGTCTCAATACCAGGCACGCTGAGTGCGGCAAATTATTATGTGTTTACGCGCTTCTAACTGCTGAATAAATCATTGCGAAACTGGAATCAGCTAGCCTACTGGTTATCCGCGGTGGTTGATGTAACTGAACCGGAAATGTGAAGCTGCAGTGTTCGAGTTGGAGGCGAACACCTTTTTTTTTTCATCAATCGAAACGTTTTCTTTTTGAGCAATTCGCATACAAACAACATACTTGGTGTCGCACAACAACACAGGTGAACGCCACTTTTCATTAGGTTCCTTCGTTATGTTCACAATGTTCATGAACATTGTGCCTGTCAAAAAAACATGTTCTGAAGTTACCTACCTTACGTATCATAAGTGCCTTGTGTAGCTTTCAGGCGTCAATGAAACTTTAAAAATCGGCTTGAGGTAACTAACCCGTCCCTTTGATTGACAGAGTCAGCTGAACGTCGACATCCTTGTCTCGTGACATTTATTCTTATAGCGTTACGTACGCAAGTGTTGTGCGCGCTCTAGAAGTGGATCTTGAAAACCACGTCAATAGATTCACGTGGCTGATTAAGCTTCAGCAGATGATAAAGAAATACGGCTGGTTCGAAGAAAAATATCTGCTCTTTCATTAAACTAACTCAATAAAGTTTCATTAACTATCTAGACAGCTCACTCTACCTTATCATCAGTAAACCTCCACTGCGATATCACATGTATACAACGTTTAGCTTCCTCCGAAATTACCTGTTTCGTAGCAGGCTCATGTTCAGAAGACTTTGGATAAGTATTCGAAAAACCGAAAGTGCTCAACTAGAAGTGCTTGAAAGAGAAACAACATTGTCCCTCGTTGTTCGTGCCTCCGAAAATTTGAATTGGCATAATTGCCTTACCAGTGCACGTGTTGCCCATTCAAAGACACGTTACCTCGGCGTTGTGAATCCGCTCGAGAAAACGAACCAGGTCCACCACGGCGGCGACGGTCAGTGCCCCGTACAGTGCGCAGCAGAGGCCAGAAGGTGGAAGGCTACGACGAAGCCTTCCCAGGAAAACCAGCAGCAAGGTGATCTGGGAGCAAAATGCACCCGTCAACTGCTAGATTGCAACTACCAAACTATTTACAGAGAAGTCAGAATATCGTAAAACAAAAAAAAGCGCTAAATCAGGCGCAAAAAAAAGAACACTCCGTTAAGAAGGCAGTTCATTTTTTCCACTGTACTCATTTTTTCACGCAGTTTTAACATCAATGAGAGACGTGTTTTTGCGGCCTGCGGTATTAAGCACGCAAAAAGATTCTGCCGCAAAGTTCTCCCATACTTCAGCAAAACATTGGCAATTTTCTTTCACGTTCCTAAACAGCCTTCCAGTTATTCTCATATTGTATTGCTGTATTATCTGCATCCGACAACACTCCCGAATAATGAAAAGTTTAATAAAACATTCCGTAAAGCAAGGCAGTAAAAAGGAAGCCGCGCTATCCACAAGTATGCCACATTACGCGACCAACGTGTGACTGTTGCACGACTCACTTACCTGCAAGCATTTCAAGCATTCGGCCAAGGGAACCTGGAGGTGAAAGCCTCGTTCTGTTAATTCTCAACCGATTCTCAACCGCGGTGTATATCGAGTCTGCCCACCACTTTCACTCTCGACGAGGAGCAGTGCTCATGCCGCAACACCAGCGAGCGCACGGTTCATCTACCAGCTTTATCACGTGGACTATGCACACACGCACGCAGAAGTAAAGGTTGCGTCGGCATGCGGCTACTATAAGGGAGGCATAGAATAGCACACCGCGAACCTTTGCAGTGCGGTCGCTGCCTCTGCACATGCGTAGTAACGTTTGCCGCCGTTCACGTTCGCGGCCCGCGCGCACAAATTCGAAATAGCATGCGGCTATCACGGCCCTCGAGGCTCGCGAAGTGCTCCGTGTAGATTCCGTGCGGGTGAGTTTGTGGTTGGGGCGAAAGTCCGTAGACCTTTTTCTAAGGGGGGGGAAACGCTATTCTAAGATTAAAAATAGTAATTGCGCACTAAACGCTAAACGCTATTCTAAACTAACATGGCGCCCGCAACTAAAGCAACGCCCGCCACACCTGCAAACGTTATTCTAAACCTCCCTATGTCTCGTATTCAATTTCACCGCGCTCACGACATATCCAATCACAGCCGCGTTGCCGACAAGATGCGAGCGCCCTTGGTGACAACCTGTCCTTTCATCTAGCCGCAATACTTGATAGAAGCGAAACGAGTATAGTGCTGCATGTGCAGCCTCGCTGTCTTCGAGAGTGAAAGTTTTCAAGCTGCAGGTGGAACGAGAGAACCTGGGCGAAAGAGCAAATACGCCCACGAACACACCTGTGGGAGGCGACTGTTGAGTCGGCAAAAATACACCACGGCAATTACGCTGACATCGCTGCACTGCTAAAATGTTGAGCGAGTGGCGGCGCTGGCGTGCTAGCACGCGTAAAACCCATGATCGAGGGGCTTTACGCAAGCGGTGTTTCTTTGATAGCCGCCGCATATGTCCCACATGCGTACGCTAGGCGCGTTCGTGTAGCCAATTTCCTCAACGCTGCTATCACGCACTCCGCGCTGTCTTCGTGCCGCGGCCACCGCAAATGAGCTCGGAGCAAGCTATAGGCTGCCCGAGAAGCTCGGGCCATCCTGCATTGCACCCCTGATCTCGCGTTTCTGCATGCTCCTAGGTCGCGTCAGCCACATGGTCCGGACTGTGGCGCTTGCCTGGCCGTCCCAAAATCGGCTGTGGTGGTTCGCTTCCTCGGCACAATCTTTGAAATAAATAATTACGGGAAACTATTACCTTTTTCAAGCCACCTGTACCGACGACCCCATATGGCGTCGGCTCCGCATCTGCGACCGCTGTGACCTCACAGCTAGAGAACGTATTGTATAAGAACCTCACACAATCACAGATTGACTGGTGTCTTTAAAAAAAAGTCTTCAACGATTTAGAATATTCGGTACTATACTATTAACCCCAAGAACAAACACTGGCATCGGTGCGGTCACGGCGATGTGGCGTCACGGAAATGATTCATTCGCCTACTCCGCAACTGTTTGTCACCTTCATCTGCGCCCGCCATGTAGATGCTCTTTAGCGATACAGTGTTGATCACTCCCCAATTTAGTCACGCAAATCTCTCAAGGTAGAGAACTTCACAGCTAGCAAAATTATTTAAGCTATTGGCAGTTTTTGCGTTTTATCTTAGAATAGCTAGATACCCGTGTGAATGGAAGAATTGCTGTGAAAGTGTCGGTGCAGGACAGCAACACGCCCGCTGTTTTCCTCGCGTAAACCGAGAAATGGGTGCTAAGGCAATATCTTAAGTGGTGATAACGTAATTACAGCCAGGCATACCTCCGAGGTCAAAACAAGTGTGCGCCAAAGTGCTACTGAAATAAGGCCGTTTTGAGTTAACTAAATGCGCCACGGTTTACCGTGCAAGTTAATCCTACATCTGAAAATATTCTAAACGATTTTACAGAGTGGAACTTTCTCCAGCAGAAGGCCTTACATGGATGTGGCTGTGATAAGCAGTCACTAGACATATTTCCAAAATGAACATCATAGTTCCGCCACACGCACAGTGCTTTGGGAAATGTTGAGATGTGCCCGTTATACTCGCATCATATGTGTATACTGCTCCACAACAGCCGCCAGAGATTATGTAGCCATGTACTCTGATATGCGTGAAACAATGGTCGGATCTACCACCGCGTCACAAACGGTAATGTTTCATTCGCGAGGGAGCAACTCTGATGGCAACGGTTCTAAAAGAAGCGCCGGAAATTCGAAATGAACTCTCTCGATGGCGCACTCGATCAGCGACATAGCCCAAGTAAAAATCAAACACCCTTCGCTTCGATGAGCAGATGAATCATCCCACACGCCATGTCCACTTGAATGTAATAACTGCATAGAAAATTAATTTACAAGGCGGTTATCTAAACTGGCGCTTACTAGCGCGTCAGCACCACTGCTAGGATGCTGCACAAAAACAGGATCTCCCGTCAATAATGAAGAACGTCAGCTGATAACCTCAACCTAAATAACGTCGGTGAAATGAAGCACCAAAACTATTGCGAGTCAAGGATAAAACTAAACATCGTGGTAAGTCACCAAGAACACGAGAAAAACAGACACAACAGCTGTGGTAGTAAGTTATACTCGGTGACAACTTTCTGTGGCAGCACAGCCAAGGTTACGAAGTCCAAGCACGCCCTTTATTACTATATACGCTTCTACATGAAGTCCACGAATGCTTACTTTGGTATGCTGCGTAACATAAAGGAAAATAAATAAAGAAAGTGTGTGAAGAGTATGTTCCAGATTGTTCGAATTATTATTACGAAGCATCACCCGTGTAGGTTTTTCGTTCTTTGCTGTTTCTAATTTTCTGCTTTTCTGGAGTCATTTCACATTTTTTCTGTCCCGTTAAACAAGGATGGCGTTGATCGGTTCAAGCAAGTTCACGTCGACGCTTATAAGCGAGTATGAGTGCGTGTTCGTCAGGCTATGTGCATTCATCGAGCAAATAGAAACGAAGACAGTGGTGCGCAATGAAATATTTTGTTTCCCGCACATTTAATCAGAGTATTTGTGTGCAAGTGACATCATCAGCGGAAATGGGAACTCAGCCGCAGTGGTCTAGTGGCTAAGGTACTCGGGTGCTGACCCACAGATCGCGGGATCAAATACCGGCTGCGGCGGCTGCATTTCCGATGTAGGTGGAAATTTTGTAGGCTCGTGTGCTCTGATTCGGGTGCACAATAAGAACCCCAGGTGGTCGAAATTTCCGGAGCCCTCTACTACGGCGTCTTTTATAATCATATGGTGGTTTTGGGACGTTAAACCCCACATATCATCATCTTCTTCTTCTTCTTCTTCATCAGCGGAAGTGGGACTGTAATCACCAAAGCCGCCTTGAAAGTGACACCAGAGACCTGCCAATCTTCAGCAACACCAGCTGCTTGGAAGAAATAGTGCGATTGTAAACTACGTAAAACCAATGAACCTTTTTCATAATGACGTTGCATATGTGGTCGGTGTTTCAACTGGCTAATATTGTTGATACGATAACGCTGAAGCTTGCGTACCGTAACACCACTATCGTCGGTGTCTACGGAAATAGTCGTTCCTTGCACTTTGCCTGGGTAACAGATGCGTTCATGTATATTACCCTGTTGACTATGAAAAAAAACAGCGTTCTTGGCCGAGTAAAGATTGCGTTACACCAACTTCACTTTACGAACGTCAGACGCCCGCTCATGAGCAATGGAATGGAAAGAAAAACTTTATTTCAGTTCTGCAGGACGCACTTAGCGCGAAGCTGGCGTCTCCCACTTATAGGGACCAACAGGGAGTACCTGGCGGACGCTTCGTGGGCCTGTTGGACGGCCCATTGCTGGTCCACTCGAAGTGAGCTCCAAGAGACCTCTCCCACTTGTTTGAGGTAGATTCGGGAGGAGTGTTTCTACACTTTCAAAGCATGTGTGCGAGTGTCGCCGTGTGTCCACACGAGGGGCATGTGTCGCTGAGGTATGCATCAGGATAATAAACGTGAAGCTTGGCAAGGTTTGGGTACGTGTGTGTCTGTAATAGGCGTACGTTGTCAAGATTTCTGCTTCACGTCGCTGCTTTGGCGTCCCTTGAAAAGTAACGTGAGCATCTCCAGCATGTTCTTTCGTCTCTAATAGAAGAAAAACAATAATGCCGACCAAGTATGCACTGCAATTCAGGAAATAATTTCTTGGATTTCCGTTGTTCCAATCGCCCATTACCTGCTCGGCCATACCTTTCTTTTTTTCTGAAATAAATCGCAATGCTCAAAGAAGCTTCCTGTTATTTTGAAGAGGATAGTCTTTCTTGAGGACCTTCGATGAAAAAATTTTGGTCTGTCTGTCTGTCTGTCTGTCTGTCTGTCTGTCTGTCTGTCTGTCTATCTGTCTGTAAATTTGTCTGTTTGTCCACCCTAACGGTACCTCAAACGGCACTGAACGCCCAACCCCATTCGCAGCGCCCACCAATCTTCCTCAAGGTTTAGCGTTTTATAGCTGTACGATTGTCAATTAAACAGCAATTATTGCGCATATCTGAGGCGCCATAGAAACACTTTGAAGTTTTGTATGTATGCCTTTATACTAGAAGAGGCACATACAAGTAACTCTAAGGAATGTAGCGTTTTAGCGCGCTGCGCTGACAGTGCAACGCGATGCTCAAAAAGTTGTTTCCAACGCTTTGCTATGACGTCACGGTGGTGGCACCTGCCCGTCGCTTTACGTTCTACACCTCATCACCTCCGATGGCGCGCATATTTCTCCGCGGGCTGCACGCCTTCGTTTGCGAAGATAACTGCCAGATGGCGCTTGTGTCTAACGTGCCTCGATACACTCGTTCGCCCCTGCTACACGCTCGAGGCACTCAAACGCAGCGCCTCCACAATACCCTTCACCGATTTTCTTGCGCAGAACGTCAAATGAACGTTTTGTTCACTCTCTCCAGACACAAGACTTTCGTCTTTCGACTACATTCGTAGTGTAACGTGCAGATTTGGAACCAATTTTTTCCCCTTTAAAAATAAACATTTATTTATTTCCTCTTAAATAAATGTAAGATTTACTGTATGGTTGTCGTGCGAAAAAGTGCATGTTTGATGCGCTTGCGAAATCAAAATCGCACAAAAACAGACTACTTGGCGTCGTAACACATGTGCAGAAGCTCCGCTCAGTTAGCTTTGGCCGTGCTACCCCAGAAAGTTGGCGATCGCGTTCTAGCATAGAGCTTCATACAATAATACCTAGAGTGGAGTCTGGCTCTAGTGTCTACGCGGGCTCCTTCTGCGGCACTTGTACCCGCATGGGAATGATGGGAAGTACAAGCTTCGGATCTGCTTCGGATGGATCACGTTCTTGAGATTTGTGACGCTTCTTTTCCGAGCGTGAAACAAAGTAATATGAAGCTATATCAAATTGAAACTTGCTTCATTTTCATACGCAAATTTTATAGCAAACAGTTTTACTGACCAGGAGGTGTAAGTGACTAGGCGGTGAAACCTGGACCAATTTAACCAGGGTACGCATTGCTCTGCCATATATCGTTCTAGATTTGGCATCAATATGTAATGAATTATTGTTTACAACATTTCCAAACAAACATTCTTGGTTTGCCCTGGAAAGTACGCAATATCTATTTATGAAAATAACCACACAGTGTTAAGTGAGAAACACTGAACGTTTTGTCTGCTGCGATGTCAGGTGCCTCTGTTCAAGTGGTCTGCCCCCAACACAGCTCTCGTTTTGCTGTGAAGTCAAGTCACAGAAGCGTGACGGTGCGTGTACTTCTCGTCGCCATCCTTTTGCAATTGATTTCAACGAGTTTTGTGAAGACGCTGTAACAACAAACGTGAACTCGATGTAATATCCTGCACTGGAATGGGACGCAACATCTACGCGCAGCGCTGAGAGGACGACGCTTCACTTAAACTGTCAAACACGACTTATACAGCTCCATCATTGCAGTAAATTGAGAGGCCTAGCAGTTTCGAGCTTCTTTGAACAACAAAGGCGTAGCTTCAGTCCTTCGCACCCTCCCCACTACCCACTCTACGCAAAGAACGAAACTGAAACTGCAGAAAAAGATCAGTAGACAGTTCACTGGCTAACGCGATCGAATCCGAAGCCTGTACTTCCCATAAGGGTACACGATCGCAGCGCCAGATTCCTCTCTAGGTATTATTGTATGAAACTCTATGTTATATTCACCTTTTCATAAACGCCTCCCTGGGCGCCACCAAAGCCCTCCTTGGGCTGTGCAAATTGGTGCGTACCCTGGAAAATGCACTGGCAACGCTGCGTCCATAGCCTTTGTACTCCCGCGCACAGCCCATCGTGGCGGTGTTTTTTTTTTTGCCTTCCTGTGAAAAGGTGTATAGATGTCTTGCAAAACTCGGCACTACGCGCGAGCGCGGGGCTTGGCACACCAGTAAAAGGGTTGTCAGATTTCACGGTCACGAGCGTTGTAACCAAAAAAACTTCCGGTCACCTCATTTGCCAGCATCTAACGTCGAAACTGAAAGCTTGCTTTCAATTGCTTTGCAAACTTAAGTAAAATCTCTTTTTCGTTTTTCACATAAAGAAACGTGCGAAAAGTACAAGGGAACGTCTCATATTTTTTTTATCTAGCTCAAAAGAATATTTATTTGAATATGTTTTGCGAAATATAAGAAGAAAACTGCAGAAAATCGGCGGGCTATTTTCTAAAGTCCTTGTGGTTCACCCTTGTTATTAACGCCCTTGCTATTAACGCATAAGCCCTTGCTATTAACGCACATCGGCCTTGAAGCACCCGTTGGGTGCAAGCAATGTTTTTGGTATCCTCGTGACGGCTTTAAGCTCTCCCATAGTAGAGTACTCTGTGCTCTAAATCGTTACCCCCCTTTTTCTGACCCCCCCCCCCCATCGGCCATAGTAGAGTACCTAGTACTCAAAATCGTTACCCATTTAATCTGCACACATCCGTGGACAAAACCGGAAGTAATCAAGGGACTGTGTTTGTAAACATTGAAAGGGTCTATACGTGGTTGCTTCCAATACGTATAATCATAGTGGAGCGTAAACCACCGTATGCCCCATCTGGTGGGAGGCCTGGATGACGTCACGGAGCGAAATCTTTGATCCCGCCGTGGGGTGCCAGCATAACACGCGTAATATGACACTATAAGCTAACCCCGTTGATGAGACCCATCCGCTCCGTGACGTCATCTAGGCCTCCCGCCAGATAAGGCACCCCAACTTCTCGGGGTTCTTGAGAGAGCAGAAAACCACCCCAATCTCTAGAAGAAAAAAAGTGCTCAGGAATAATTTAGGGTACAAGCTACCTTACTGCGGCAGCCCATACGGTCCTGCCAGAAAGGGGATAACGCATCATTGCCAGGCACATGCGCCTGTCCACGGAGCCAACGGTACTCTATTTTCCGATAAGCCTTATCGGTTGTAGTACTAGGACAGGTACAAGTTTCTTTATCACTTTATTATAAGATGTGGGTGAAACGTTTTTGTAAACACTGCTCTGAGAAACAATGAGAAGACAACAGTAGAACAAACATTGAACTATATACTGCGAATTTGAATAGAGGATGTTAAAGTCTGTTTGAATCCCGATAAGAACACCGAAAAGATCTCGAATAGCTCTCAAAACGAGATGATCAGCAACTTAGTAGAGTTTCTCCACATCACTATTGCTGGAGAATAGATGCGAAAACACAGCATTTTAGGGGCCCATGAACAAGACAGAGGTCAAAATTAAGTGTAGCGTTGTAGTTGTGGCCAAGGCTACAGCGCCTTACTAGCCGAGGTAACCATGCCTCATGAATGATCAACACGTTGAGGCGGCGATGGTTCGTTTCGCACTTTCCTTTGCTACCGTCTATTCCTCGGCTGGACACCTCTCCGAAAGCCAGTTTGCTCTCCTGTACTCGGCCACAACTTGTCGTGACGTTAGAGCGAGGGCTACGAGGTCCTGGCTTCCGCACCTTCGTGTTGCTGCACAAGCAGTACGGCAGATTGTGCCTGAACTCAGTTCACATTGGTCGCACCATTATGGTGTTTGCCAAATTATACACATGAAACTTAACAGAAGAAATATTGCTGCGCTTCAGCGCACATAGTATTGTCATATTACGCGTATATGTTGCTTCGAGAACTGAACGGTGCGTTTGCGGCCGTGCACTGACCCACTACGTCATGTGCGCCATGTTTATTTTTTTATGCTAAAAGGTAGTGTTGTAAAAAAAACATGCTGTAGCAACCACAATTGAGCAGACTATGCTGAATCACCAACGCGTGGAACTGTACTGCCTCTCTTCTGTCCTTTCTTTATATAATAAAGACTCGTACGCTCCCTCTGGGCATGAAATTACTTCGCGAAGTTGTTTTGCCCTTCATACGTCGTTTACCCGATCAATAGAATGCGCAATGCATGCCCGTAAGGAAGTACTAGTAGTCTAGACTTTTATTTTAGCCACAAATTAGAGGCCGAGCATTTCGACCACCAGTGCGAACAATCGACGCTGTTCTTCTTCTATTTCAGCCCCGATCTAGTTGAACCTGGCGGGGATGAAAAAGGGAAGTGGGAGGGTACAAACTGGATCACTGAGCTGTTCGGCAGCAGAAAAGGCAGTGTGAAAGGTTGGCATTCGCAGAGAAGTCATCGGAACAGCAGGGTTCTCATCTATATCTATAAATAGGTGAAAGGGGAAGATGCGGCAATTCCATTGGCTGTGCCGGAGAATTCTAGCTTCTAGCACAGTGAGTGACGCATGGCGACGTCCGCATACTTCTATGCCATGCAGTACTCACAAATGTGGCCGCCATGGCGAAGGCCGAAGTAGCCAACCGAAGAGTAGATGTGTTTAGAAACGCGAGCGTCCATTTGCCTTCCAGCACGTAAATTCCCTTGAGGAAGGCCAGTACCGCGGAACATAACGCCAGAATCTGAAAGCAGAAAGCGATGCATGCGTTGGTGGTAATGAAAGTCAACCACACCAACATTTACAGTTAACGGAGCAACACATGGCTTACTGGACAACAGGAAAGATGTTGCCACGTTGCAACTTTGTTCGAAGTTCTTCACTTGTTCGTCACAGGAAGTTCAAGTCTTACGTAATTCAACCGCTGCTTTTCTTGCGCATATAGCGTTCGCACATCGACATTAAAACTCAAATTTTAATAGTTTAAACCACATACAGTTGTTTAATATCTAAATGCAGTTATGCCATAATTTTTTATTGCTTCAGATATTTCACCACAAACAATGACTGTCAAGTTGACAATACAATATATTAAGCATCGTTTCGTGATCGATCGCTCGAAATTATATTTGAAAGTTTCATGGTATCAAGAATAGTTTGAATTTCAAGAATGATTCCTGTAAAAAGACTACAGAAGACGTACGGTAGGGTGAAGTGAAATGTGACGAAAATTTTTAAATAGTGAATATGTATTTTGTTTCACTCCTTACAATTAAACATCAATACAGGAAGTTTCGTTTGCGTACAAGGTATGAGCCACTTAAATATTACTATGTTGCCACCGTTCTGAAGATTGTTTTAAAAATAAATAACAAATGCTCCAGATGTATCATGTTGCCCCATCCCGCAGGTCAAAACATCGTAATGGCATGAGAGAACAAGATACCCTAAAATTGTTCAAAAGCCTCGTCATCGGTCGCATTACATACGCGCTTCTGTATCAAATTATGAACAGGGAAGAGAAAGAAAAAGCAAACAAAATAATCAGAATGGCCTACAAAACAACCTTAAGAATACCGCGGAATACTTCAAACGACAAGCTACTGGCGCTTGGTCTTAATAACACAATTGAAGAATTATCCGAGGCCCAGCTACTAGCGCGAGAAAATCGCCTTCTCCAGACCCCAAAGGGCAGAGCAGTCCTAACATGACTTGATACATTGTTACAAAAACACCAAGAAACTAAAGAAGTACCAAGCGAACTTAGAGAATGGTACACCGTATTGCCAATACCAAGCAACAGGGATCCTACTCAGCATGCTGGGAGAAGAAAGGCAAGGGCTGACTACATTGACAAAATGAAAAGATTTTTTAACACAGCCAGATTCACTGACGCCGGGCCTTATCAGACCAATGCAAAAAGATCTGTGTGTGTAGTCACCGACCGTAGAGGGAAAATTACAGCCAGCGCTTCAATATATCAGGCGTCGACAACACAAGCAGAAGAGGTTGCCATAGCACTCGCAATAATAGAGGGATGGACGCGAAACGCTCCATTAACAATCATTACAGCTTCGCAAAAAGTTTGCAGAAACTATCTAAAGGGCAAAATTGGAGCACAGGCGCTTCGTATATTGGTTGGGACAGGATGGGACCCCACAGTAAATTACGTACAGACTGTGACTTGGGCCCCGGGGCACGAGGGCGTGACAGGGAATCTGCACGCGGACGAGTCGATTCGAGGCTTCACAAATCACCGAGCCACTCAAGACAATGTAATAGATGACCCTACAACCCTGGGCCCTTGTTTCACAACGATTCTAAAGTAGTGCAGGGAAAATAGGCAGCTCTATTCACGTCCTTATAGCAAGCTCAGCGCTGCGGAGGCAACAGCGTTAAGAAGAATTCAGACTAACACTTACATAAATCTGCACACTCTTCACCTGATCTACCCCATGGCGTACAGAGATATATTCCCGTGGTGTGTAGTCACCCCAACACTCCTTCACATCACATGGGAGTGTGCAGAGCATGACGAAGAACACGACACCAATGGCACATGGGAGGAATGGGAGGCGCTGCTGTCTAGCCCAGCCCTGGTGGATGAGCTGCGACTAAACTACAGAGCTTCATGAACGGATGGCTCGCGCCAGTGGGGCCCTATAGAATAGGGGCACCACCCTGCCGGACAGACTTCGCTCTTCACCCTGTATTTTCTTCGGGGCACTGGAGTTCTAGCCTGTCTGGTATATGTCCATAATAAATTTTTCTTCTACTACTACCACTACCGGAACCGTAGGCAAGACATCTATTTTGGGGGGAGGAGGAACTCCTAAAGCCGTGGGTCTGTTCTGTTTGTTCATTGGCGCTAGTGTGAGTGACGGACAGACGGGTGTACAGAAGGCGCACGGACGGAGGCATGGATGGACGGATGAATAGACTTATAGACGGACGGACCGGTGGCGCATGAAAGCACGGAGGATGGATGGACGAACGAATGCTCCACCCCCCTTATCATTCACTCCGTGTATATATACTGTGGTTTATTTTTATTAGTTATTTTCGGTAATCAGTAACATGCCTTGCCTGGGGGGGGGGGGGGGGGCAGGCTGGCTCTTAAGTTAACCCCTCTGGCTACAGGCCTGATTGTAATCTTCGCAGAAAGTGCTGAGTAATATATTCTTTTTTCGCTGGTTGCTTTCGCATCCAAAGACGGAGCAGTGTTCCCAGACGACTTTGCGAAAGCGAGGTTGGTGTGAACATGTGCATTTTCGCATTTAAAGATCCAGAGCTGCCCCTTACCATGTTAACGGGTGCGATAGGTACACGTCTTGGCAGCGTTGGCAGTCCAGAACAAAATGGCGCCTGAGTGAGAGAGTATTGCGACGGTAGCCTATGCGCCTGGGTGAAAAATAGCCGTGCTTTGGTCTATATAGAATAAGTTATTGGCAATCGTTGCTCCCTGCTCGTACAGTCACGCGTACCTAAAAGTTAGCACGTGAGTGTCGACCAAGAACTACAACAGCGCCACGTCTCAGAGTACATTTGCGCGAAGACTGTGATATCAGGCACGCCTCACTCACTCTTCTTGCTGCTATTGATGCTGCGACCACTTCGATCTCAGGAAGGCCTATTTGAATTTTTCTTCCCTGGGGGCGCAGCTCCTTATGGTCAATCTACGTCGACCATCCAGCACATTCCAGACACACATTATCCTTCTGCCATCACGGCACAGCACTTGTTAGGTATTCATTATACGCCTTGACGATGATGAAGAGGAACAAGCGCATTCCAGACACACATTCTTTTTCTGCCATCACGGCACAACACATGTTAGGTATCCATTATACGCCTTGACGATGACGAAGAGGAACAAGCGCTTTCCAGACACACATTCCCTTTCTGCCACGGAGAGAAACGATCGTGAAGGCCTTCTCACCCGCGAAAGGCCCTAGCGTAATTGAGCCTTATGGCGATCAATAAAACAATATGTATACTGTATGTGTTGTCACTCATTTGCTTGTTCGAGCGAGCAGCATACGGGGAATTCACAGTTACCCCCTTGATCCCCTCGAGGTTTACCTACTTATCATCGGCCACTTCGTCTATATGCTGTGATTTTCCATGACAAGGTGATACATATATTTTTTTCAGCTTAGCAAGCCGTTAAAACGATGTACTGCCAAGCACCAGCATCACCAGTTCTCTCCCAGCAGTTATGTTATATTCCACGAAGATAAGAGGCAAATAATACGCTTGTACAATCTGAGACAAAAAAAAAATAAAGAGCTGAAGATAAGGAGAAAGTGTGTACACTTCGTAGTGGTGAGTGTTTTAGCATGGAACAGCCGACGAAAGTGAGAAGAATGAGCAATAATGACTTCAACCGTCTCAAAAATTGCTAATAGTTCCGTGGGAAGTTGGGCTGGGTGACACTAGCGCGATAGCACCTTTAAATTGCGCTGGACTGAACCCACCATATGCGACCACGACCTCATGTGCCGAATAGGCCGCATTATTTCTGGGACATTAATGCCTGGCCTCAGTGTCCGCTTAAAATTTTACGAAGGCTGGACACGAAATATCGAAAATTGACAGCTGCGAAATTTCCCTCGCATCAGCATTCCTGCTTCTGCGTACATCCGAATTCGATTAGCTTCAGAGCACATTCTCTTTCATGCACAAGCATTGGGACACGAAGTGGGAAACTCAAGTGCTTACCGTCAAGTTACAACAACCGGTCACACGTACTCACCGTTTGCGCGACGTCGAGCAATGTGAAGCGCGGTCCACCAGGTGCGCTCGGGTAGTTGTTGTGACGAACCTGCTGACGTGCAAGTAGTACGGCCGCACCAAGGCTGAAGCAGGTGAGCCCTTGCGCCGCTACCACGGATGGCAGGTCCGTGGATGCTACCTGTATCCAAAGCACAAATTGAACGTTTGGAGATGTTTCTTAAAAAAGGAAGTTTCAATTAATTCTTTCTATGCAAGAGGACATTCAGTCAAGAGGGTAAGTTTAAAAAAATGAAGTAGTTCGCCTATATCGCACTTTCAATATCCCTTAGCAAGCTGTAATGTATCAGTACAAAAAAGAACTTCGTACATTGTCGCTTTGTGCGCACTGTAGATGAATTGAAGCATTTCATTTAGAGAGCTTCCAATTCGACACTCAGCGAAAAATGCTAACTCGCAAAATGGCATGCAAGTCAAGTGTTGTTTTCCCGAATTTATTCAGTATTATATGCGAAGCATGTTTCGTCGAACCAATTGTGTTTTCTATCTATCTATCTATCTATCTATCTATCTATCTATCTATCTATCTATCTATCTATCTATCTATCTATCTATCTGCCTGCCTGCCTGCCTGCCTGCCTGCCTGCCTGTCTGTCTGTCTGTCTGTCTGTCTGTCTGTCTGTCTGTCTGTCTGTCTGTCTGTCTGTCTGTCTGTCTGTCTGTCTGTCTGTCTGTCTGTCTGTCTGTCTGTCTGTCTGTCGCTAGCCTCCTAAACCTTGGCGCTCTTGCGGTTCTTTTATTTGAAATATATATGTATGAAATTTCGATTGCTTAACATCTGCGTATGTGGTCGTCATCGACAATACTTGTCACCAATAGAAAATACGCATATCGTTGATGCTATGACCGTAATGACAAGATAGCATCATGATGCGAAAGTGGTTGAGTCATCAAATTTGCCATCAAGATTATGCACGGCGTGACGTCTGCCTCAGAGAAGCAGAAATGGCAGGTCACGTCACGAATGCCTTAAACTCCATGCCATCTACACATTCGCATGACTGCTGAAATGACATGAATGACGGGTAGCGACGCCGTTGCAGCTGTTTAGCTAGCATGACGCGTTGCAAAAGGTGCGCGCATGACAAATGTGTCATATTGTAGTTGCCATACAGTGAGGTGATGACTGGAGTGTCACGCGCGGCCTTGGCTTGTAACCTGGGTTGCACGAATCACTGGATTCCCCAGCTGTCGTTTGTTATGGTCGGGTACTCGAATCAGCATAACAACAAATGTCACAAGACATGAGATACGTCCAATGCGTACCGCGTTTGCTGACGCACTACCAGCACAGTTCAGTCAACTGTGGGCTAGTATCGGCTCCCATACTCCTTATATTGGCTTGTGTGGGACAATGTCGGCACAGGTTGATAAATGTACAGTGTTGCCAATTTCACAAGTGGTTTCTCACTTGCACCTGATGTTAGCTATCATAGGCTAACGTTGACTGATGGCAGGCACTGGGTAGCTTAGTTTAGATGTCGATTATCGTTACCAGTTCAGGGTATACACGCGTTGCGTTGGCTCTTCACTCTTAAAATAATGCAGTGTATATTATATATTCTTTACTGTCACTTTTATTGGGGAGAAAAGCAAGAAAAGACAGTAACGCTTTCGAGGTGCACGTCCGGTTTGCTACGCGACAATAAAGAAGGGAGCCACAAGAGAGCAAAAAAAAAAGATTAGAGGGAAGAGGATACAATTTTATTGACCCCAAGAATGAGTCAGGCGAAAAGGGGGGAGGAGGACGATGGGCCTCCAGGCCTCTCCATAGATGGCTGAAAGTCCTAGCACTTCGGCGACACCCCCCCCCCCCCCCAAGCCAGTATATAATCTGGAGTCAGTTATCCCATCGTGAGCTGTGGTCAGCAGCCTATCCTCCTGTCACTCAGCCTTCACAAAGGACGACTTTGGCTTGTTTGGTGATTTAAATGTATACTAATACAACGCGCAGCGTGCTAGAGCAGAGACGACCACTGGGTAAGGCGTCACCTAGGTGAATATTATAATTGATCATGTTGGAGATCAGTGTGCCCGTTTGGAGTCGACGAAACGACTTGCTTAGCTTGAGAAGGTGATTTATGTGTTGCTGGTTAGATCATGCGAACATTGTGGGAATGCAAATAAATATCATGGTAGGAGAGTAAACAATACCGACTCCTTTGAAAAGAAAGCAGATTGTAAACTGGCCGGTTGACTAGTGCTCTGGCTTGTTCACAAACGGATGTATACCAGGTATGTCCTCAATGAGCCAGAACCAAAAAAAATGTTATTGTTCGTTTAGAAGGCGAGCGTACTTATGACATGGTGGGCTGGTGCATTGAACCGAGACAGCCAAACTGGGAATGGCCGTTTTGGAATTTGAGACTATATACTACGCCTGGGTGTGAGCTATTGTTAAAGCAATCGAAGCTTCTTCCGTCTGGATTGGTTGAGCCTCTTGGTCGAATGTGGCCCAACAAAGTAGTTTGTGGGCATTATCTGATATGGTCACTGCAAATGCTGGACAATAAAAATTCTCTGCGGTATCTGGATAAGCGACTACGGTCGAATGTTCATAGCGCTTATGAAGCGACCTAGCACGGGCTATTTCTCGGTCGTGATTATGGCTAGCAAGGTTCTCTTTGGGCATTGATGGCTTATGAAAACAGTTCCTTTTACATTCAGGCGGTGAGCTTCTATGGGTAGTGCAGCCAATGAGGTTAATTTTCAAGCGCTGAAAAGTCATGGAAAGAGTCACAAATCGAGTGGAATTACGCACAAATTTGGTGGAGTACGTTAAGTCTAAACGCGGTCAAGCAGATGTGCTGACTCTAGTAGCTCAGTTCAGGTTTTCGTTGCCTTTGAGGCTAATTTCCATTCTCCAGTAATGTTGACTGCTAGAAATGGTCTAGCTTCCAGTTCATTCAGAATTATCCCGAGCCGTAATTGCCGGACGTCATCTCAAACGCAGCTGCATGTTAACGTATCAGTTAAGCCTTTAGACTTACTCGTCCAACGACATTTGAACGTATACGCCCAAAGTATGTGGGTTAACGAACCCGGAGTTTCAACTCTTGCACCACTCACGTGCTCATCAACTTCTTCGCGCTCAAAGGTGCCAACAAATATGTTGTGGGCATTTAGTATACCAATCCTCTTCATCTGTACATTATCATCATTATCATGTATTGCTCATGCATCCTCATCGTTGTCACGTTCATTATCATCTTGGTTCGTGCATCTCCGCTGTCGGCTGCCGGTTCCTCGGGCCTAATAAAGTTCTTCCAAACCAAGACTTCATACGTGGTGGAGCGTGCTGTTAGATTCCTCGTCATCCTCTCGACCACTCTCACCCCCTGGAGCTAGGTTCAGGTCGCCGCTTGGGCCAGGTGTCCGGAAATATGTCGCACCAAGAAGAAGTCGGTGCTGCAACCGCTCCCACTCCGCCACCGCGTGCCGCGCCTTTCCACGTCATTAACAGCCTCCAGCGTGAGCCCCATCCCTTCACCGGTATGCGCGGGGAAGATGTGGAGGAATAGCTGGACGATTTCGAACGTGTCAGCGCTGCTAACCGGTGGGATAACACCTACAAACTCGCTTACGTGTCATTCTACCTCACGGGTGTCGCGAAGACGTGGTTCCTCATCCACTTCATCGACATCCCCGACTGGTCAGCCTTCAAAGATCAGCTTCGCCATGTCTTTGGCACACCGGCTGTTCGTTCGGCTCTCGCAAAGAAAGCTCTCGCGGCTCGGAAACAGCACATCGGGGAGTCGTATACATCCTACATCGAGGATGTCCTTTCACTTTGCCGCCGGGTTGAAACCCCAATGACAGAGTCAGACAAGGTACGCCAGCTTCTTAAGGGGATTGCACCCGTCGCATTCAATGCCCTTGCATTTCAGAATCCTGCTACTGTTGCTGACGTTGCGACAACCTGTCAGCGCCTCGAAGAACTCGAGTCTATGCGCCTACAACCGGACAGTGACGCGGCCCGTATTACAGGCAGATCCAAACCTACGAGACACAATAAGGGTGATTATACGCGAAGAATTAGAATCAACGGGATTCACACTACCTTCAGCGTGTCCCATTCAGTCTTCTTGAACGTCATTGCGGGATGTCATCAGGGAGGAGCTCACGTCCATGACCCACATGGCCCACCTGCAGCCCACTGTCGCTCGTACTCTCCCATCGTTCTCGCATGCCGTCACCGCACCATCAGGCACCGTCAGCTCGACATCGCCGCCACCAACGTACGCGTCGGTTGCTGCCGCACCTCCCAAAAGCTTTCCCACGAGATTTCCATCACCACCGCCTGAGCCATCATCTGTCCCTCTCAGTGCTCTCTCTCCCGTTGCATCTAACACAAGCTACTACCCTCCTTATCGATCGGCTCGCCCTACGTGCTATTATTGCGGCTATCGTGGTCACATTTCACGCTTTTGCCGCAAGCGCCAGCAAGATGAGCGCCGAGGGTACGACATACGCGAACGAGACTATACCGCAGGAGCCTTGTACCAGGGGCGTCGTTATTCGTCACCGCCGCGTCGGTCTCCATCTCCGCCAGCATCCGGTGAACTGCGCAGTAGTCATTAATCAACCAGACGCCGTTCACCATCGCCCTACCGTCGCTCCTCTTCTCCTCTTCAGCCTGCTTCCCTCGCTTCTGATCGGCGTCCGGAAAAGTAAGCGATGCAGTTTTTGGAGGACAAACTGCATTCCAACACAGTACTCCAATTCCTCCAGCGCGCCCTTACAATATGATTGCAGTCTCAGTTGAGGGAGTGGACGTTGACGCTTTGGTGGACACTGGGTCTGGGTTTTCTATTATTCATGTTGATTTGTGTACCCGTCTTCGAAAAGTCACGACGCCTTATGATGGACCAACACTTGTTACAGCCCAGGGAACAATGATTCGCCCTTCCGCTCTCTGTACTGCCCGTGTGCTAATCGACGACATTCTTCATCATATACAATTCGCTGTGCTATCCCCGTGCTCCCACGAACTCATTTTAGGCTGGGACTTTCTTCCATCTGCTTCCGCGGCTATTTGTTGTGCACAACGTGTCGTCCATCATACTGACACAGACCACTTGCTTCGTGACAAAACCTACAGGCCACTTCGACTCGTCGCTG